AGCTGCAATGTGATACAGCTTTCGGACACACTGACGGAGCATCACGGTCTCTGTGTGCTTCTGTGATGCGGGGGCAGCCTTGTTATTCATTATTGTTGGAATGCATCTCAGGGACTTTGAACAACGCGGCGTTCCAAACCATTAGATGGTTGGATATTCGGTTCTCTCATGATGCCAGGCGTGCCGCTGCGTCCTGTCGTCGCATGTATGGATCTATGGACCATGACCAGCCATATCTTTGTGTTGAGTTGCTTCAGCTTTATTTCCTGTGCGGACCTTTTCAGATTTGCATCATGCGTATCACGGCAACCCTTTGGGAAAGGCTTGGCCTGGTTGTGGTGTGCAGCCTGCGCCTGGAAAGATTGGCCCAATGACGTTGCAAGTCACGTGCCATTCATCTTACTAATCGTCATCCGCACTTTGCAAAGCCATCATGCTGATTTCACAGTAGCAGCTGCAGATCACTGCTATGCATTGCGACGGGCACCAGCTCTGGGTAGGTTCTCTGCGCTCTGCGCCCTTCCTCCGCAGACTGAGCGACCTCTTGCATCTCTTGTCTTGTTGGCACGTACCTGGGACCTGGCTTGTCATCTTTGTGCCACGATCAGACTGCAGGTCTGTCTGTTTAGACTCGCAGATTTTGCAAGGGAAAGGAGTAGCTTTCATGTGCCGGGCAGGTCCTTCTACTTCGAGTTCTTGAGTCGCTTTCAGAGCAAGGTGCGGATTGGTGAGTGGACAGTGCTGATCCGGACTTCAGAAGCGAAGATCAGCCAGGCCTCCACGCGCCAGAGTACATTGCTGCTCTCTACCACCAGGTCCGGTGGGGAGAGGTGGACCAGGCCAGAGCGGGAGCTGGGTTAAGGCTTGGGTTGGATGTGTTTTGTTATCAGGCTTAGGATCGCATAACGTGATCATAGAGTCCAGGATAGTCCAGGGCTCAGAATTTCAGGAGGAGAAACTGAAGTCCTAAAAGCTCAAAGCGTAATCTCGTCACTTACATTGACACGCCTCCTTCGCTTCCTCGCAACACACGATGGATCCATGGTTCGTTCAACAAGACGACCGGATGCCTTGGTTCATGTCAAATGCTAATACACAATCCTGCCATGCACAGGAGGCATGTTCACTTTTACATTTTCATCTGAATAAGTAACACATGGAAAATTTGATTGTTAGGAATGTTATTTCAGAAAAATTGATTCTACATCACAATATCCGTTTTATTAACAGCCTTTGTGCATTCTATTCATCACATTTGTCCATTTCAATAACAGGTATCGTATTTCTTACATCATATGGTTTTCATATTTTTGGTCTCGTATTAGTAGACCAGAACTTCAGGCATCTGCCTGGGGTTTCTGTCAAGCGTCAGGTTCCAATTCCACGGCGTTTCATTGGCAAGGTGGGAGGCGAATTAACGATGGGTTTGGATTTGGTGCAGGGCTTCAAGCTTTCCATCGCTGAACTTAAGCAATGAGCCTGATCAGGTGCGACTACCAATGAAGTCCAGTTTCCTCATCAAGTATGATGACGTCCTCCGCGGGGTCGAGGCAATGTCTTGCGCATGCCTGGAGTCCAGTCATTATTTCTTGCTTACTGCTTGTTAGCATCTCGTGGTCATCAAGGTTGGGGGGTCTCTGCTGAATGAGCCCTGCGAAGTGGGATTCACAAGGCTCCTTCAAACAGTCAACCGTAAAGTTTTTGATCCACGATGGGACCTTTGTTTTTGTGGCTCTTGGCTACTAGTGTCGACGCGTAGTAGTGAAAGCCGTCATCCAGAGTATGCTTGAATGCTTTGCCTGTTGGGAGCCTGAGGCTGCTTTTCTGTGCAGACAGTACCCTCAAGCATGCGCAAGTCCCAATCGCCGTCGGGACCTATGTGCAAAACCTATGGACTTGTAGTTGGCTGACTGCCTGTAGCTGAGCCAGTGCAGATGGACAGGCTATACGCAAGAACGGAGATCCCTTCCGAGGAGGCATCAATTTCGATGACACTCGGAAGCACAGACATGAGGTGCTGGAGTCTGCTTGAGGGTGCAAGATGGTAAGGTCTAGATAGTAGAGTTTGCACCGGGTTTGAGGCATCAGAGCCTTTGGAGTCACAAGCCGTAACACCAAGTCACAAGCATTCTGCCAAGTGCTGTATGCGTCTTCAAGAGGTTTCTGAGGCTGTCGATTCTACGAGGTAAGCCCACATTGACTCATTGACAACGTCATGAGAAATCTTGAGATGCAGGCACGAAGGTCTGGAGGCACACCTAGCATGAAGCAACCACAGACAAAAGGTTCCTATGAACCTGAGCCAAGCCTCTTTAAGGATGTCAACGAGCTGGGGCTCGATGGGTGTCGAAAGCTCAGGCACAGCAACACAGCAATGGTGGCAGGTCTTGATCCCTTAAAAATTGCGCAGTGCCAGCAACAAGCGGCTGCTCGACGAAAGTGCTTCATCACAGCGGGCCTTCCTTTCAGTGCATGGTCGTTTGCAGTGTGCTAGCATCTTAAGGCGGATTGTGTTCAAACTTGATGGTGGCTGTATTTGAGAAAGCCTCGAAATTAGCAAGTCATTGGCCTTCAGAGCCATGTGGTTTCATACCTGAGGCCTGGACCAGATGTCGAAGACATACCGCGAGGTGCGAAAGCAGCTTCAAAATCTTCATGGGGCTCTTACTCACTATTTGCACGACTTGTGGACGATGAGCCCAACCGCTTGAGTGTCTACATGTTTGATTGCAAGCCCTGTATCGCTTTCTAGCTTTGGCGGCAAGAAAGATGCTTTTGACCATGTTGCCTGTCGCACAGTGGCTTCAGGTATCGTTTATTTTTTGTCGGGTTGAGTCAGGTCTGAAATCATTTGACAATCGTGGAAGTTGCAAGATTTTTATCTTCCAAAGCTCCGTATGGCTTCAGTACAATTCAAACCCACCCGGAACTTCGTGGATTTGCTGCTAACATCCACTCAGGCATCTTCTGTGTGGGTGATTCTGGATCTGCTGCCTGCGCCTGAGAGCGCATCCTCTGGTCGTGCTTGAGATCAGAAGTCTTGGCTTTAGAATCTCCAGCTCTACAAAGATGACATTCGTTATTCAAGCCCTGCAAAGCCTGCAGTTGTGCGCGAAGCTCTAGCAGACTCTTGTCATTCCGCACTGAATGGAGTGCCAAGTACTCGTGGAGCTGAGCACTGCAACGATTCCTTCCCCAGGCTTCGGCCTCCCGAGGTAATACTCAGGGTGCTGAGAGTTGTCACGTTTTTCTGCAGTGACGCAGGCACCCCCCCCTTGTGTCGCTTTCAAGGTCCAACTTCCAGCCAGTCCTTGTCGTCAAGGCTTGGATCTTCGTATTGGCGTGGTACTGCTACCTGTCGGAGGACGGCAGGGCCTTGACATTCATGATAGTTTAGGATTCAGAATTGAGGATCCTGTATAGGGATAGGAGTTTAAAGCTCTAGGCTCAGTGACAAAGAGTGTTGCATAGACGTGCTAGGTATTTTGCGAATTATGCGAAATGAATAGACCGAGGCATTTGTTTCGTATTGGTGTGAAAGGCCAGTGAAAATTGGTCTTCAATTATTTCGGGCTTGGGGGCACAGGCCGGCCTGGCCGTTCCGCCTTCCAAAACCCAAACCGGAGTCCTAATTGGCTTCATGATGCTCCAAGTCATGAGAAGTCTCTGTACAAGAGATGTTTTCGCTACTTTCGATGGTTTCTTAGGGGCCTTTTCGTGCCGCCTTGCGTACACGAGCGTCATCAGCACAATTGGCGTCCCATATAGGCTTAATTGATCTTAATTGGGACTAGAGAGGATAGAAGCCCACCAAAAACCGTCAAAAAGACTCTTGAACATGGTTTCCTGCGCAGACTGACCATGATGAAGTGTCAGTGTCAAACTTTCAATGATTATTTGACGGCCAATTTCTTATGTGCCCCATAAACTCTTGGAGAAAACCGATATCAAATAGCGTTTGGGTGGGCGCCAGGGAGGGAGCCAGAAGGGAGCCCGAGAGATCAGTTAGGCGGCAGACGCAATGCCAATTCCACAAAGCATTTCCGAGTGTTTTGGCGAAGGGCAAGGGAGGGAGCCGCAGAGGAAGGGCCTGGGGATGCGGGAGGGGAACAAAGGAGCTGCAGGGGAAGGCGATCTAGTGACTTGTGGGCGGCCAGGAAG